ACGGCAGCCAGAGATGGGGATGACGAAACGCTGGACGACCTCTTGACGGGCAACAATGCAGCAGCAGACAATGGGTGTACTGTATGTAGGGGAGGAGGCAGGTCTCGGTGGTGGCAGGTGGGAGGAGGTGCGGTTAGCCGTCCATGGGCCAGGGCTGCGCAGGAGGTGGCCAGTGCCAGGAGTGAAAAAGGTGGTTTGTAAACAAGCGTGGAAGAAAAGAGCGTGAGAAGGGGATTGGGGAGAGTGCAGCGGTGTTGGTTGGTTTGGACAGAACAGGACTGGCGGACGGGGCGGCGCGGCGTGGGCGTGGTGGGCGTGGGCATGGACGTGAGCGTGGGCGCTCAATGCCTGGGCTCGCAGGACGACAACTAACAAGCAGGCGCGAGTGCCGACAGGGAGCAATGCTTCTGCTTCTGCTTCACCGCACCGCAGCTGCGAACAAAAACGTCAAGTTACACGTACGGTACAGCTCACAGCTGGCACTGCACTCCACTGGCTCTCGGAATCCTGGGACTCTTGGTCGAATAGCGTGCCGCAGCGGGCCGTCGGTCGCGGTCGCTGCCCTGGATGGCTGGGCATTGCACTGGCGCCATCAACACCAAGCCGGGCGGCTACAGGGCCTCGCCGCCCAATGACAGCCCCTCGCGCGTGCACCGACGTCTGCTTTCGGCCTCCCGCCCGACTCTGCACTGTCCTTGTTGTCCTCCTCCTGAAGCCCTTCCACGGTACGAGGTACGTAACCTTCCGCCGTCCAGACTCGCGTCCGCAAGGTCCAGATAAGCTTGCAAATTGCCTTTCGGCTGCTGCCATTGCCAAGAGATTTGGATCATCACCACACCGGTGATTGCTCTGTTCCAGCCTTCTTTTCCAACGTTTGATATAATAATAAACCCGTCGCGATGCCCCCCCCTTCCCGTCCGTAAACGCCTCAATCGTACAGTGCAACAAGAAACATGATTCCTCAGCTCATCCCTCCACCTTGGCCGCGCCTGCCTCGGGTGCATCCGTCACACACCCCTGGCTGGCGTCTGTCACCAGTTTCGAGTACTTGAACAGCACGCCCTTGTGGTATTTCAACGGCGGCGCAACCCACGATTTCCGTCTCTCCTCCATCTCCGCCTCGCTGATGTCGAGGTCCAGCACCCTCGTCTCGGCATCAATGGTGATCTGATCGCCGTCCTTGACGAGGCCGATCGGCCCGCCAACCTGCGCCTCTGGCACAATGTGGCCGATCAGGAACCCGTGAGAACCGCCGCTGAAACGTCCATCCGTGATGAGCGCAACGTCGTGGCCAAGCCCAGCTCCCATGATGGCCGAGCTAGGCTTCAACATTTCCGGCATACCTGGACCGCCCTTGGGCCCCTCGTACCGGATCACCACCACCGTCTTCTCGCCCTTTTTAAACTCGTTCCTCTCCAGCGCATGAATAAAGTCGTCCTCGGCGTCAAACACGCGAGCCTTGCCAACGAACCGCAGTCCCTCCTTGCCGGTGATTTTGCCGACGCAGCCCCCTGGCGCCAGGCTGCCCCGAAGGATCTGGAGATGGCCAGTCTTCTTGATGGGGTTGCTGAGAGGCCTGAAAATCTGCTGGTCCTTGGGAAATGAGGGCGCGTTTTCGACGTTTTGCTTGAGCGTCCGACCCGTGACGGTCATTTGGTTGCCGTCCAAGACACCCTCGCCGAGCAGGAATTTGATGAGGGATGGAGTTCCACCAATGTCGTAGACGTCGGCGAAGACGTACTTGCCAGACGGCTTGAGGTCGGCAATGAAGGGGGTGCTGTCGCTGACAGCTTGGAAGTCTTCAATGGTGAGGTTAATGCCAACCGAGTCGGCAATGGCGATCAAGTGCAGGACAGCATTGGTCGAGCCACCAGTGATGGTGACGAGTTTCATGGCGTTTATAAACGCTTCCCGGGTGAGAATGTCGCGGGGGCGAATATCTTCCTTGAGGAGGTTCTTGATGGCATTACCGACAGCCATGCACTCGAGCTGCTTGGCCTTGGAAACGGCAGGGTTGGTCGACGAGCCTGGCAGAGTCATGCCCATGACTTCAATGGCGCTAGCCATGGTGTTGGCCGTGTACATGCCACCGCAAGCACCACCACCGGGGCAGGCGTGCCTGATGATGTCGAAGCGCTCCTCCTCGTTGATTTCACCAGTGATGAATTGACCGTACGCCTGGAAAGCAGAGACAATGTCGAGCTTGGGGTTTCTGGGCAAGCGTCCGCAGCCGGGCTCAATGGTGCCGCCGTAGACCATCATCGAGGGCCGGTTGACACGACCCATGGCCATGAGGACACCGGGCATGTTCTTGTCACATCCGGGGATCGAAATGTTTGCATCGTACCACTGGCCATTCATGACCGTCTCAATCGAGTCGGCGATCAAGTCTCTTGACTGCAGCGAGTACCTCATTCCTTTTGTGCCCATGGAAATGCCGTCACTGACGCCAATTGTGTTGAATTGCATGCCAACCAGTCCAGCCTCGAAGACGCTCTTGTTGATGGCGTTGTTGAGCTGCATCAGGTGCATGTTGCATGGGTTTCCAGAGTACCAGACGGAAGAAATTCCAACCTGCGCCTTGTTCATGTCCTCCTCTTTCAACCCAGTGGCATACAGCATGGCCTGGGAGGCACCCTGCGACTTGGGCTGCGTGATGTTGCGGCTGACTTTGTTGAGGGCGGTATCTTTTTCATTGCGGCGGGCAGTGGTCGAGGACAAGGCGCGACTGTGAAGCGTGAGTCAATTGGTCTCGAAACAGATGTGGTGAAGTTACATGTTCCGCCATTGCGCGCTGCCAGCTCGCGCGGACCGCGCCGGCGCCGCGGCAGCAGCAAGCCTTGGGAGCAGCATCGTCAATGTTTGTTGCTAGAACAATGCTCCCTCGGCCAATTTGTATATGCGCAATGGTATGAGTCGATTGAGGTGCACAGAAATTTCGCAGCAGCTGTCTGAGTTGCGGCAGCTCCGTCAGCGAATGACCGTCGAGGAGTTTATTTTGGCAGCCCTCTGTGGACTAGCGCAGGAGCTTGTCAAGCTGCCACTCCGCTATCGGACCCCCGCGGAATGACCCACGCCGACAACAACACCCTAGCTACATACCTTCTCACTCCACTTGCTGTGTGCTTTTTCCCACGACTTTGGCGCAGGATTCGCTGAAGACGCGCTTGCTTTTGCCGCCTTGGTGATGTGCAAAAAAACAATTCGACCCTGTCCTGACGTCTGCGAAGAGTTGCGGATCCAAGGCATGCAGGGCGTATATGCAGCTTGATATTGGTCAATGGATGAGTCGACCTCTTCTCTACTTGGAACGGAACAATCGGAATCGGTGCATTAATTCTGGCCCTCCAAATCCTTGTCGGTAAGCGGTCAACGTCGATGACTCCCGCGCTTCGTTGCTCCTTGCCGACCGATTGCCTCATCACTTTTGCATGCAACACGCTTCCGCTGTCATGGTCCATTTATTGAATCCTCCAATGCCACTGGGTCCAATTGATGGAATCCTCCGAGGCTGGGGTCGGTTTGCGCTCTGCTCATTTCCCATTGGAGCCCGCATGTCTGTACGAGCTCGTCGAAGTTTGGACGACGAATTTGCCCGCAGGAAATGACCAATCTCATCTGAGTTGCAACGGGGCGCGTCGTGGCAGGATCTTGCCCCTGGTTCGGGGAACAGTGTAGCAATGTGATGGACTCTCTGTACCAATCAGATATTGTCTGAAGTCCTGAGTCACAATCAACCTCCACGGAGTCCAAGTTTTGCAAGCGCTTGCGAAGACTTGATTGAGATGAGTGGGCTCGTGATGGAATACCGCATCTTGAGAAGTGTGGTGGGCAGTCAGTCGGGTCATCATATGCAAAATAACCCTGGAAATTTGTGAACATGAAAGTCGACCGGTGGAGCTGGGTTGAGAAATGTCTGGAGCCGTGCAAAGAGTTGGGTAGCTGACGCGGAGAAGTCTGGGGATGTCGACTAGCTAGGAAATGACAGTCGACTCAATTACACCTTGCAAAGACCTGACAAGGCTATATTTTCGACCTTTCTGCAGACCACAAGTTTGCAGTGTAGTTGGGAGTGCAAGCGAACATCCGTAGTCGACTGGTTTCCCTTTTGGGCTAGCGCGAGAAATGGTCCGCTCGGGGTGATTCAGCCACCGCAGCCTGCCCGCAGCTCTTTCATGTGTCCTGCCTTGATGTCTCGCGACTGAAGACTTGATCTTCATTTCGTGCTGTGACTTCGTTGATGAGGCACTTATAATCGGACTGCTCAATTTTTGGAGTCGACGCTGAAAGCCGCTCCTGACTCCTTTCTCCAGGAAAGAGTATGATCACTTTGCTGTCAAGTTGCCAGTACGCGGAGGAAACTACAAATACATCTCCAGTGTCTTCGAGTAGGAATCCTGGCTTGCTGGTCCAGCTCCATGTCTCGTCTGCGCCTTTCGTCTCAAGGGTCCGTTCCATCTATGTTCAGGGGCCATGCTATGAGCTCCAATCTTGACGCAGGTTGTAATTGTTAGATGAAAGCTCAATGTGACGCATTGCAATCAGCAACATAAAACAAGCAAAAAATCGTCGCTGAATTTTGGTGTTGGGGAAATCGTCAATGTAAGCGGGTTAGCTGAATCATCCCACCCAGCCCCTGGACACCTTGACTCCGTCGATGGTACTGGTATATCTTTGGTGAGTCTGATAGGGCTGATGGGAAATTGGTTGGTAAATCAAAGCCTTTGGGTGTTCTTAATCTGTCAATCGATCTGTCTTTGCAAGGGAAAAAAGGAAAAGAAAATGGAAAAGAGACCTCCCCTACTGGGAAATTCGAACTGAAAAATTTTCTCCACTGCAGATTGATTGGGCCTAGCTTTTCCAGTCCCTACACATTTTTCTTGACGTTCTCCAACTCAGTGAACACGCACAAATGTTGGAGAATCAAATTTAGGTCCCTCACATTTCTTTTTGATCAATGTAGCAGTACATATATTGCATTAGCGAGTCGAATTTCAACAAGTCTCGTGGTGTAGCGGTTATCACGTATCGTTCACAAATCATATAAAATGTGAGCATTGTTCCGATAAGGTCCCGAGTTCGATCCTCGGCGAGACTAGCTTTTTTGCATCATGCACTTAAGTGATGCAGCTTATGCTTTCACGTTTTTGTTTTATCTGTACATGAATTTGTCGTTCAAATTGCTTCCATCAGCATTCTAGACACCATCAAGAAGCTCGGTGTGCCAAGGAAAGGCACTGCATCCACGGGAGAGTTTGCAACTTTAAGGTGATCTCATTCCCATTTTTTGAAACACCTACCCCTAGCACTTTGATTCATGTCTTATCCAAGCTGCAGAGCGCCCTCTGTAGAATTTCGGTAGCCGAAATTTCACTTGGTGTGTTGATACGGGCAGTGTTTGCACTTTTGCCGAGCTGACATGCAAGTGATCTTCGGGGGTGGCTCTATAAGAGACCCAAATATGCTCCCTCATAATAGAAATGTAGTAGCTGACCTCAAATGAGACTGGATTCTGCCTCTCGATCGCCTGACAGAACGGGCAAACACCGTGTGTAGAAGGTGTCGGTCGAACATGGTGTAGAGAAGACCCCCAACAGAGAACCCTGATCCAGATACGAAACGACAAGCTATATTCTTTGACAGCAAATTTGTAACTAGAAGAAGCTTCATGATTGGCTGTTTGTACTAGAGAAACAGCACTAGATTCGCTTGTTCAAGAACTACCTTACGGAACCTCGCGTATCCCTGGTCTCGCTTGCTTCCCGTACCGCCGTTCCGCTCCGCCCCGCCTCCCGCGTTTCCCCACCAACTAGCGTCACTCGACGTTCAGTTACCCGTGATGCTTGCTCCCTTCTGTCCGAGCAACGAAATTGAGAAAACCAGACGATATCGCATTTAGTGGTTAGTTCAAATCGAGCAAGAGAGAATGAATTTTTTTCGCGCAGACAGGATTGCAGCCGCGAAACCATACCGGACGCTAACCCAATCGGGAAAGTCCAATGAGCTTAGCTGGGCCAACAGGGACGATTGAGACTTCGCCTTGTAGGTTTTCATTCGAATATTTTTAGGAGGATTTTATGATTTCAAGGTCTTGAGAAAGATACTTTCCGTTGAAATGACTCATTTGCAAGGTTTGAATCGGCAACTGGGGGAACAAAATCCAAATCCGCCTTTACATGTTCGAAATTTCCAAAATCAAATTCATACAACAGGATCATCCCTCTCCTATCTACAAAAATTTCAACGCAAGTAGTCGGCTTCCTTTGAAGCAGGGTCCACAGGAATAGGATCCATCAAATACTCAAGGTATCACTTCCAATTCGCGGCGGGGGGTGGTGGGTGGATTTTAAAGACAATAGCGGATTTAGAAAATTACAGAATGTGGATCTCAATTTTCCCCCCTAGAAGAGAAATTTATCAGAAAAGCAGGCAGGCGGCGGAGTGATGAGAAATAGCATGAAAACGCAGCAGATTAACATCGAAGGGAAGGCCAATGGCTATCGCATCCATTGATTGGTGCAAGATATTGAAGATGGACAAATTGCGGTCACAACCCAAATTTTTCTGTCTGTGTTGCTCACCAACGATAGCAGCAGCAACATGTCGAGTCTCTAGAAAAGAAGTCGACCTAGAGACTTGCACAGGCCAAGTTTCAAATGGAGGGAATCGCTGTTGATTCAAAATTAGTACAAAATGCAAATCCACCATTCAGTCTCGGAAATTGCTCAAAATCCAGACCGTGCTTCCGAATACACACTCTCTCGAGTATGCAAACCAAATCCCGGATCTGGATAAGCAGCTGGAAGCTGAAGCATATCTAAGAAATCACCTCTGACAATCAACTGGGTTGAAGGTGGATTCGACCTTGAAGATGTTCCATGTTTAAATGCGGTTTCCATACTTCGTAACACACGCTCGACGACATGAAATCGATACCTTTCACCGTAAGCAATTTTGGTTTTTGGACTTCGAGTCTCAGCACTTATTGTCAGTTCGTTGTGATGTTCATCCACAGTAGAGCGCTATAAGGAGTGCTCATGCATAGCATCTCAAATCATCGGGCCTCGATAAATCTCAGTCTTTGGGACAATGCAAGTCGAGAAAGCATGATCTGCGTGAAGACTGCGATTAACAGTGGTACAGACTGCTGAAGCAAAACCAACATCCACCTCCGCAGCCACGACCACCCAACTGAATGAGCGTAGCATGTTGATGAAGCAACAGTCTGCGAATTTGAATTTTCAGTCTTTTCGTATGAAGCAAGCCGAGAATACATGATCAAACAATTCGATTCAATGGCAGCGCTACCCTAGATCCCAGGTCCGTCCGCGCCCTTCCCTGACCGTGTCGCCGTACTCCTCCATAACCAGTACGCTCCAATCCAGATACTCCAACCAAGAAAAATCCATTCGAAGCCCCACCCGGCCGCCCAAAGGAAAACGGGAGAAGCATGGGTTGCCACTGCTTCGTCGCCGTCCCACTGCCCGACAACCTCGATGCGGATCCCCACCACCAAGATTCTGGGCTGCGGCGACGACCAAACACTACGACGGGAGCAGGCCAAGGCACGATGGGCTCAAAGGTGCCATGCATGCAGAGTTAAAGAGGATAGAAGAAAGGGTAAGAAGAGAGCAAAAAACTACGCCAAAACACCAATCGTACGTAACGTCCGTTCATCCACTTCGGCTGAGCAGCGGATGGGAGAGGGGATGCCTCGCGCCAGAGAAGAGCAAAAGTCGAGACAAGAAGAGAACGACCCTTTACGTTCGTGCCGGGAGTGCCGGCTCCTCTTAGAGTGGCTTCTGTACAGTATGTGCCAACATCATGATCGAGGCGGGACGGGTCGCAAGGCTAGGTGCAACTGCAGAGAGGAGCTCACTCCTTGATCTTGGCCTGCCTCTTTGCCGTGCCAATGTGGGTGTTGTGTACCTAAACATGTTAGCTGGATTGACAAACATTCGAGCGTTGAGCCTCACCTTAGTGGCAAACTTGAGACTGGTCAAAGTCTCCTGCAAGTGGGCCTGCAGCGGACTAATCATGACAAACATGAGGGTCTTGCTGTTGCCGCCGAGCGAGTACTGCAGCAGATATGTGAGCTTGCTGTTGCGGTAAGGAACATGCGCGCCGTCCTTTCCGGAGCCCAGGGCGGCAATGACGTCGCCCAGACAGCTCAGACTGCGGTTGATGTTTTGCGTCTCCTTGAGACGGTCGCCAGTGACGCCCGAGTGGCTCAAACGCTCGGAACCTGCCAGATCGACGAGGTTCAGAGTGCCTTCACTGCGCTCGCCGGTGATCGAGTTTTGACCCTTGAGCTTGAGGATAAAGACGGAATGAGAGCGCGAGGAGCGGCTGTTGGCCATGGTTGCGGCAACGCTGCGGTTGCGCGAAGCGTTGGAGAGCATTTCTTGCACCTTGTCGGGGCTGTCCAGAGGCACAGACGTGACGCCAGTGATTTCCGTGCTCTTCTTTTGCGGATCATGGCGAATCTCGTGCTTCTTCTTGTCCAACTCTTCCGTCTTGCCCAGCAAGTCGTTCAAAACTTCATTGTACACCTCGACAAATTGCCCCTCCATCTTGTAGCGCCAGCCCTTCTCCTCGAGCTCCTGGGCCGTGTTATAGATTTGCTGGACCGCCAGAGGAATCATTCCATCGGGCGAGCTCATAGTGAACGTCTTGCCCGAACCAGTCTGGCCATAGCAGAAAATGCAGACGTTGTATCCATCGAGCGCCGACTGGACAAGCTGAGAAATTTCCTCAAAGACGTCGGCGTTTTGAGCCTTGGGATCAAACACCCTGTCAAAAGAAAAGGGATTGGTGGCGCGAGTGACGTTGCCCATGGCGCTCTTCTGCTCCGGACCTTGAATGACAACTTCCTTGCTGTCCTTTCCAGCGTCGGGATAGGCAATCTCGGCAGTCTCATTGGCTTCGATTTCGGCCGCTGGGCGGACACGGCAAAATACGCGAATGTTGCCCTTGAGCTCCTGGACTTGGTTGTGCAGCTTGCGCCTGAGCGTCTCTTCGGCGCGGAGTTTGGCTTTGGTTTCCTCTGCAGCGTCAACGGCCTCTTGCATGCGCTTGTGGAGCTCTGCAAATGCCGTCGATTGCGCCTGGCTGTCAGACTCGAGAAAGTTGATTTTTGCCCTCATAGCGCTGTTTGCCGACTCGAGCGTCATGTTGTTCGCAGTAGACTCCGAAAGCTTGTCACGCAGATTCTTCTCCAACGCAGTCTTGCGCTCAATGTCGGCCTTGAGCTGCTCGGTTTCGCGGCGCAGGTCGAACAACTCCCTGTCTTTCTTCTCCATGTCCACTCCGGCGTTCTGGACATGCAGTTCTGCCTGTGTTTGAAGTTCCGAGACTTCCTTGACGCGGCGCTGTCGCTCTTGATCCAGCTGAGCCTCCATCTCCCTCTTGAGACTTGCAAACTTTTCCTCATACTCGGCCCTGACGTCCTTGGTTTGATGGTCGAGGCTCCGCTGCAGTTCTTCTGCCTTTCTTTGCGACTCGTGGCGCAGGTTCGTCATCTCCTTCTCGTGTTCGAATTTTAGTTCTTTGAGATCGTGTTCGCGCTCCCTTTGCAAGTCCCTAATTTCATAAGTGTGAGAATTCTTGAGGCTCTCGAGGGCGATCTCTGTTTGCGTGAGTTTCAGCCTTGTCGACTCCAATTCGCTCCGGATCGCGTCGTTTTTGGACGAAAGTTGCGATCGAACGGCCTCGAGCTCGGTGACTGTGATGAGAAAGTCCCGGGTTAACTTCAATCCTCTTGTGGTCGTCATGTATCGCGTAGTAACAAGCTCAAAGACTGCGCATCGAAGATCCATAATAGAAAGAGACATACTCTTAGCCTTGTGGCTTTCAACCTTTTCTTCGATATTCGCGCGTTCGTTCTTCGTGCTTTGTACCTGCTGCCGAAGTTCGCCGTATAGGGCCTCCATTTCGTCGAGGCGGCCTTTGGTATCCCAAGCTGGAAGTGGACCACGCAAGTTAGAGTCTTTGTTCAAGTAAGGAGTCGTGATTTCTTTGCAAGGAGACTTCTTAGGGGTCTTCAAAGGAGAAGGTGCACGAAAGGGAGTGGCCTGGATTGGCTGAACAGAAAGCGCT